ACCCCTGGAAGAGGCAGAGCAGGAGTGGAGTGGTGGTGCAGCCCAGTGCAGGGGGGGGGGCTTTAACAGAAGTAAATCTAACTAAGTGCATGTTTTGTCCTTTGAATGAGGTGCATTACTGTTGGTGGCACTTAGCACTTTCCAGGAGGGGGGGGGAGGAGCAGGGAGCCGCGCGCTCAGGGGAGGAGGTGGAGAAGAGACGGGGCAGGGGCAAGGCCTCATGGAAGGGGTGGAGTGGGGGCTGGGCCAGGGGCAGCGAGGGGGGTGTCAGTGATGCGGCTCTTGGGCCAATGCACTAGTCCTCATGTGGCCCTCGTGGTCATTTGAGTTTGAGACCCCTGGTTTAAGCTGTACATTAGGAAAACCTTCCTAACTGTCAGAGTGATTAAGCACTGGAATAAATTGCCTAGAGAGGTTGTAGAATCTCCATCATTGGAGATTTTTAAGTGCAGGTTAGACAAACACCTGTCAGGGATGGTCTAGCTAATTCTTAGTCCTGCCATGAGTGCAGGGGAACTAGACTAGAGGACCTCTCAAGATCCCTTCCAGTCCTATGATTCTTTACTCCTGTTCTGAAACAGTTCCTCGGGCTCACTCTGATTAAGCAATCCATCTCTAAAATAGCATAAATCTGTCCCTTAAGGATTTTCACTGCACTGTCAGACTAATGTCCTCGGAGTGCAGGGCGGTGGCCTCGGTGTTCCTACACCCGTGATGCCCATATGCAGGAACAGCACCTTGGGGTCATAGGCAAGCTGCTCTATTTCCTAGAGCTGTGAACTTGTTCAGATCACTCTCAGGATAAAGGGTCCATAAAAATGACTTAAAGCTCAGCTAGATGGGAGGATCTGGTCTGTGGTTATTAGGCTACTACTTCTCACTATACTGATGTTAAATAAAAGTGGGTCTAACATTTTGTTACTGACATGGGAGAGGGCATAAAGAGCAAACACCAATATCACAAGTAGAAACAGGAGAGTGAATTGGGACATGGTGCGAACACTAGCAGAGTCAGAAAAAGTAATGCAAAGGCAGGGATGTAGGCCCCAAGCTTGAACCATTTAAAAAGGACATTAGATAACACAGTAGACAGTGTGCTGCAACGACTATTCCTATGCATCATTTCCTCTATAGCTTATATTATCTACTGGTTAATGCTGCCCTAGTGTCCACGCATTTCAGTAACATTTCTAAAAATGTTGACATGTTAGCCATTAATTTCTGAATATAGCCACAGTTCACATTTGTATTTTTGTCTTTAGTTATCATATATATTCAGAAGTGGAACAATGATATAGATTTACTGGAAACCATCAGATTTTCACCATGCAGAACACATATGCACCATACTTACTAGATCCAGATATATGCCAGTCTTTGCATTCTTGAATATCAGCATCACTATCAAAATAAATTTTTACTTTACCACTGTGGGCTCTGTTGTTGAAAGTAATCTGCAAACACAAGTGTAAAGATTTATCATTTGATGAAAGCAAAACTAGCAAAATTAACACTGTCAAAAATGCAGAGTCAAAGACTAGATTGATACCCACTGGTACTGCTTAATCTAGATAATCTGTAAATAAAGCTATCATCATAGATTAATATACATGGAAAAATACATCTGAAACAATATGCAAGTGCAAAAGCAATCAATGATTTTACTTCTCATGAAGGACAAAACATTTAAAAAATTGAAGAGGAGAACCATGTTTGAGGAAAATAAATAGTTACTTAAATAGTTATAAGAGATCTGTCCCATTGACACCCAAGCAATCACATCATTTTGCACGGGTGTCAATGGAGAGAGTGCACACTGAATTTTTTCCATTTTGCAGTCAGGACACCAATAAGAAATGTGCTGGACTCTGGAACACTTGTTTCCATGTGTATACATCTGAAATGCACTTACAGTATTCTGAAAGGCGTAGCAGTCAGGCAATTCTCTGGCATGAATTGTTTGTAGATCAATGCCTTTAAGTTGAAAGGAGATTTCAATCTGTATAAGCCTGAAGAGTAAAAATAAATGCAGTGAATTGCATACAATAGATTCCACTATTTTCATATGAATGGATGGGTTTTCAAAACTTACTTTACCTATACAATTCAAAGTTGAAAAATGATGAATTTATCATCTTCAAATCACCAGACCTCTTAGTGGCTAGCATCTGTGGCTCTAGGTGAATACAGTCTATGGGGGGAAAACAAATTTTTTAAAAGTTTCATTCAAAATGACTATTTTACAAATAAAGTAAGGGAGAAAACTGAGGTAACTGGATACTGGTGGACACAGATGTAGGTCCTGATCTTGCAAGCTGCTCAGTGTGGAGCCCCGCTCAAGTTAATGGGGCCATGAGAAGGTGCAGGCATCTTCTGTAGGGCCCCAATACTGAAAGGTGCTAAATGTTCCCACTGAAGTTAATGGTGATTGACAGCATTCAACAACGCTCAATATCTGGCCTCTGATCAGCAGCTTCTCTCATACAGAAGGTCAACAGCTGAAAAGTCTTCAGAGAAAAGTCTTACTGTGATGACCTAAAATGCTTATGCTGTAAAGTAGTAATTTCTAGGTGGATATTAAAGAATAAAATAGGGGAGAAGTGGGTTAACTTTCCTAAGTTAAAGTAGGATTGCCACACAAATAAAATACTAACTTACTGTTGATGATTTGCCATTACAATACATAAAATGTCCATAGCAACACTTTTTAAAAAATTTTACAGCAGTACTGTACCTGTTTCAATGGCAATGTCTATGTTCAGCGTATCATTGGAAGGAAGCATTGTGTCTTTCTTGTACTGTTGTTTACAGATCTGTAAGCCTGACACATCGTCTTCATCTTGTTCATAACCAAGTGTGCCCAGGGATATATTCTTTAATTGGCAGTACTAATTTAAAAATAAAAACACACTTTTTCAGTTATCTTAATTATCCTCACATCAGCCTATTCACAAAAAATTACTGATGCCCATAAATATGTTTTCTTTGCCCACACTCATTCAAATTTGCTTTTTTTCCATTAACAAATGTAATGGTCCACAGTATCAGCTTTTCATACACACTTTGTATTTGCATAACAAGTTTGATTCAAGGATCTCAAAATTAGTCAAGCCTCAACAAGGCAGGTGAATATAATTATACTCTACAAGGACATTGTGACGGGTTCGGTCACAGAGACCTCTTTGGGACTGCCACCTGATGTGCTGAAACTACCTCGGAGCCCGTTTTCCCTGCCAGCTTGGGATTTCAGAACCCTGTCATGTTGAGCTAGACACACCAATCTGCTGCAAACGAAGACCCAGGTCTGAACCATGTCCCCCAGAGCTGCAGACTTAACTAAAAATGGCTTAAGACGTGCTCCTGTCTCCAGCACCCAAATACCCAGTTCCCAATGGGATCCAAACCCCAAATAAATCTGTTTTACTCTGTATAAAGCTTATACAGGTTAAACTCAAATTATCCGCCCTCTAGAACACTGATAGAAAGATATGCACAGCTGTTTACTCTCCCAGGTGTTAATTACTTATTCTGGGTTAATTAACAAGCAAAAGTGATTTTATTAAATATAAAAAGTAGTATTTAAGTGGTTCCGAGTAATAACAGACAGAACAAAGTAAGTTACCAAGCAAAATAAAACAAAAACATGCAAGTCTAAGCCTAATACATTAAGAAACTGAATACAGATAAATCTCACCCTCAGAGATATTCCAATAAGCTTCTTTCATAGACTAGATTCCTTTCTAGTCTGGGCCCAATCCTTTCCCTTGGTACAGTCGTTGTTCCAGCTCAGGTGGTAGCTAGGGGATTTCTCATGACTGCAGTCCTTTTGTTCTGTTCCACCCCCTTATATAGCTTTGGCACAAGGCCGGAATCTTTTGTCTCTCTGGGTCCCCACCCCTCCTTCTAAATGGAAAAGCACCAGGTTTAAGATGGATTCCAGTACCAGGTGACATGGTCACATGTCCTGGGAGACCCCAAGCCTTCATTCTTCCTGGCCTGACTCACAGGAAGGCTTGCAAGTAAATATAGAGCCATTTACAACCAATTGTCCTAGTTGATGGGAGCCATCAAGATTCCAAACCACCATTGACGGCCCACATTTGCATAATTACAATAGGACCTCAGAGTTATATTTCATATTTCTAGTTTTAGATACAAGAATGATACATGCATACAAATAGAATGAACACACTCAGTAGATTATAAGCTTTGTAATGATACCTTACAAGAGACCTTTTGCATGAAGCATATTTCAGTTACATTATACTCACACTCATTAGCATATTTTCATAAAATCATACGGAGTACAACATCACAGACATGTCAAAGGTCACACAGGTAATCAGTCACAGGGCCTGGAACATATTCCAGGAGCCCAGGCTCGCAGTTCCCTGTGCTTCAGCTACTTAAAACAACACTCTCCCCAGGTGCATATTATGTGCCTGCCTTAAAGGGGTGTTCAGAGAAGAGCTTCAAGATACTTTGATGGAAAGATGCAACTACAGAAAAAGGGGAATTTAAAAGATTATAAACATAAATTTAAAAGAAAGTTAGTACAACCTCCTCACCATCCCATACTTTTAAGAACTTTCATAGGATGACCAGGAAAAAAAAAAAAGCAGGATATTAAACAGAATTTGTAAAGCCTTTACATTTTTATTTTTAAAGGATTTTAAGTCCTGAAAAAAAATAGAAAAATTTTAGCAAGTTTTAAGATTTCCCCCCACCCCCACAAGATCTAGGGCAAACAGCTTTACTGCCCATTCGCTGGACAAGGTGGAGATGAGTTGCTGCTTTGACTGCAAAGTAACAAAACCACATATATACTAGACAATATGCATCCATGGAGCACACACAGAGCTTGGGAAGATTCTTGCCACAAAGAAACCAAGTGCAGGGGAGCTGATCTCATCAGGCACTCAGAGATGGAACTGAAAAATTGTACATTAAAAGGGAAAACAGCTTTTGACTTGTATTCAGCCACTGGTGAGTTCCAATATAATTTTTTAAAACTAAAAATCTCTCATTTAGAATTTAAGATTCGTTTACTAGGCTACGATAAAAGACAAGCTCTCCCTAATAAACTCTTAGGCCACAACAGAGCAGGATTGAAAATCCCACTCTCAGGGTCAAATTTTGTTCTGACTTACCTCCCATACACCCCAAGAGGGTTGCATAGGAAGTAAGTTCATGCAGAATTTAGTCCTTTTAAAGTATCTTTCATTGCAATATCAAGGTCCTTAGTTTTCTTGTCTTTATGTTCACCTTAGTTTTCAATACTAACACAGCAAAGAGATCTATACTGGTAGAGGAGATGAAATACAGAGAAGTACAGCCTAAAGGACCATGGGACTGGGAGTCAGAAGATCTAGGTTCTATTTCTGGCTGTACCACTGGCTTGCTGAGTAACCTTGCACAAGTCACTTCACCTCTCTGTGACTCAGTTTCCCCCATCTGTAAAATGGGGGTAACGATACTGAGCTCCTTTGAGACCTACTGATAAAAAGTGCTATGTAAGAGCTAAGTATTGTTGTTCTTGCTGGGTTCAACAATAAAGGAGTCTGTAGTCATGCTTTCTAGGCTGGTAAAGGAGCTAGAACATTGCTGAGATGAGTAACTGGGGACACAGCACTTCATAGAATTCTTTAATATCCATACAGCCGAACTGACTATTGAACACCTATGAAAGGTTTGCCACTCAATTTAAATGTCAATAGTCATTGCTCAAGAGACTCCCAACGGGCAAGAAGTCCCTTAAATGGTAGAGGAAACCCAAGCCCCCATATAACACTGACTCATGTCCATCATGGGTGGCAAAACACAATAAAGAGTTCCTGAGCCCCTGGCCAATAAGCCAATGCAATAGCCAACATCCTTTGAAAAGTCTTCCTTCCTGTAAACACGCAGTGGTCAAACCAAAGCTAAAATAAAATGAACAACCCCGCCCCATCTAATAATTTTCATCACTATCTAACCTCCCCTTCCTGAACAAGATAATTGAGAAGTTAAATAACCAACTGAGGCCCTGTCTACACTGGCAAGTTTCTGCACAGTAAAGCAGCTTTCTGCATTGTAACTCCCAAGGTGTACACACCGCTGAGTCACTTAGGGCGCAGAAACCACGCAGTTGCAGCGCTGTAAAAAAAACCACCCCGACAAGAGGTGTACAGCTTTCTGCGCCAGGAGTACAGCACTGCGGTGCCAGTGCAGACACCGTGGTCGATTACAGCGCTGCGATTGGCCTCCGTGAGGTGTCCCACAATGCCTGTTCTTGCCTCTCTGGTCATCAGTTTGAACTCTACTGCCCTGCCCTCAGGTGACCAACCATCATTCCCACCCCATAAATTCCTTTGGAATTTTGAAAGTCCCCTTCCTGTTTGCTTGGTGATGCGTGCAGTGGTCTCAGGGCATCGTTCCAGGTGGCCATGCCTGCTCCATGCACCAGGTGATACCCTGCTTGGAACAATGCCGAGCTGCTGGACCTCATCAGCATTTGGGGAGAGGAAGCTGTCCAGTCCCAGCTACGCTCCAGCAATAGGAATTATGATACCTACGGACAGATTTCACGATGCATGACAGAAAGGGGCCATGACTGGGACACATTGCAATGCAGGGTCAAAGAGAAGGAGCTGCGGAACGCCTACCACAAGTTGCAGGAGGCAAAACGCCACTTTGGTACTGCGCCCACGAGCTGCTGGTTCTACAAAGAGCTGGACGCGATACTCGGTGGCGACCCCACCTCCACTGCGAAGGACACTGTGATACTTCAGTGGCTCGCATGCCAGTTGAGAGTGGACCGAGCCAAGAGGAGGAAGTCTTGGATGAGGATGTGGAGGGGGAGAGGGACCCAGAGGCAGAGGATGCCTCTGAGGTCAGAGATGCATGCAGCCAGGAGCTCTTTTCTACCCCAGAGGAGGCTAGCCAGTCACAGCTGTCGGATGTTGGCAAAGCGCAAACAGGAGAGGAGGCCCCGGGTACGTGGATCTGATTTTGGGAATCGTCGAGGCGAGTTGTTGGGGGCAGGAGGGTTGCAGAAAGCAGGCTTGTGTCTGTATGTTGTGCATACCACCACATGCCTAGTCTGAGCGGCGGAACAGGCTGTTCACTGACTCCCTCACTTCATGGGAATCTGCCTCAGAGATCTCCAGAAAACTCTCAGAGATACTGGGCAATCCGCTGCTGCAGGTTCTTTGGCAGAGCTGCTTTGTTTCTTGCCCCATTAACGGTAACTTTCTCCCGCCATTGTGCCGTCACAGGGGGGAGGACGGAGAAGAACCATTGCTGCACACAGGCGAGCCACATAAGGGCGGAAGCCGCAGTCTTGGAGAAGACCCTCCCTTGATTCTCTGTTCACCCTCAGCAGCGAGATATCTTCCATAATGATCAAAATCTGTGGAAAATGTGGGGACAGGAACGATTATCAGGACCCCCTACAGTGCTGGCTCTCCCCAAGAGCCATGTGCCCAGTGTACAGTACGGTCCTGGAACACTGATTTCCCCTGCCCCTGCAGTTACTCACCATTCTGGGGGTCTTGTGGCTCATGTGCACTTGCCTGGGGTCAGCCAGTTGACCCCAGGCAAGTGACAGATACGTGAATACTGGCTGTGTTTTAAATCACTGTTCTGTATGTTGCAAACAATATTGCTTCTGTAAAATGTTGCCTTTAAACTTCACCGAGATGCCCTTGGGAGCACAGCCTCCCTCTTTGTTATTGCCAGCTGAATGGCTACGCAGAATTAGAAAGCATCCACGAAGAACTAAGGAGGACTTTCTGTGTGATGTTATGATGCACTCCATAGCTGAAAAACAAGAATTGAAGGAGTGGCGGGACAGCGAGAAGAAGGACTGAAAGGAGAATGCAGCGTACCAGAATGAAGCCACGGAGCAGCTCTGAAATGTTATGGAGCGCCAAGCAGACGCGCTCCAGGCAATATTAGCACTGCAAACCAAGCAGTTCCACGCCTGCCTTCCCCTGCAGCCGCTGTTGCAAAGCTCTTTCCCATGCTCCCCCCATACACCACCAACACACTTATCAACCTCCTGGCTCTAGTCTGTACCCACAGCATTCCACTCCTCCCCTGTCACAGTCCAGCACTTCAGACTCACAGTACCCACTGCACTCAACACTCATCCCTCTGCAGTTTGGCCCTGCTGAAGTACAGTACCCGCTGCATTGTACTCCGAAGAAGGCAGCTGGATATGATCCCTGGGCATACACAAATCTTTAGCTGTCCCAGACCCCTCCTCCTCCTGAGACCTTCCCTTCTCCCCATCCACATCAGTGCTGATGGTTTTTTTTTTTAAACTCTCTCCTCCAGTTGTTGTTTTTTAATAAAAAAGAGTTGTGTTAGTTTGAAAGCAATCTTTATTCTATTAATTGAAAGCAAACAGAGCCCTGCAAAGCAACAGACAATTATGTTAAACCTTCATATTGCATCGTCTGCCCCAATCACAATCATATCCTAGCATTACAAGCACTGCACTCCCAAGCATAGCAACAAATATTAGTGGCCTTCAACTTCAAATTGCTGCCTCAAGGCATCCCTGATCCTTATGCCCCGCACCACTCTAATAGCCCTGGTCTCTGGCTGTTCAAACTCAGCCTCCAGGCACTGAGTCTCAGCAGTCCAGCCCTGAGTGAAGCTTTCACCCTTTCCTTCACAAATATTACAGCGTACAGCGCGTGGCTATAAGCAATGGAATATTGTCATCGGCCAGGTCCAGCTTCCCATAGAGGCAGCACCAGTAGGCCTTTAAACAGCCAAAAGCACACTCAACAGTCATTCTGCACTTGCTTAGCCTGTTGTTGAACTGCTCCTTGCTGCTGTCAAGTTGCCCCGTGTATGGCTTCATAAGCCATGGCATTAAGGGGCTGGCAGGGTCTCCCAGGATCACAATGGGCATTTTGACTTCCCCTATGATCTTCTGGTCTGGGAAGAAAGTCCCCGTTTGCAGCTTCCTGAACAGGCCAGTGTTCCGAAAGATGCATGCGTCATGCACCTTTCCGGATCAGCCTGCGTTAATTTCCGTGAAATGCCCACGATGATCCACAAGCACCTGGAGAACCATTGAGAAATACCCCTTCCAATTAATGTACTCGGTAGCTAGGGGGTCTGGTGCCAGAACTGGAATATGCGTGCCATCTATCACCCATCTGTAGTTAGGGAAGCCCGTTTGTGCAAAGCCATCCACAATGTCATGCACATTGCCCAGAGTCACGGTCTTTCAGAGCAGGATGCAATTAATGGCCCTGCACACTTCCATCAACAGGAATCCAATGGTAGACTTTCCCACTCTGAACTGGTTAGAGACCAATCGGTAGCAGTCTGGAGTAGCCAGCTTCCAGACTGCAATAGCCACACGCTCCTTCTCCGGCAGGGCAGCTCTCATTCTTGTGTCCTTACGCCACAGGGCTGGGGCTAGCTCATCATACAGTCCCATGAATGTGGCTTTCCTCATCCGAAAGTTCTGCAGCCACTGCTTGTCATCCCAGACTTGCAGGACTATGTGATCCCACCACTCTGCTTGTTTCCCTAGCCCAAAAGCGGCGTTCCACTGTGGTCAGCACCTCCGTGAATGTCAATCAATCAATCTCGTGTCGTAGCTAGTACGCGTGGCGAGATCAATGTCACACTCCTCTTGCCTTTGTAGTTTAAGGAATAACTCCACTGCCACTTGTGACGTGTTGGTCAGAGCGAGCAGCATACTAGTCAACAGTTCAGGATCCATTCCTGCAGACCGAAGAGGCAGAGCGCGCAGTATACGAACTGTTGAAAGATGGCACCAAATGCAGACAGAAGCACAGGGATTGCTGGGATGCGAAGCAATGCATCACGGGGCATTGGGACAGGACCCAGGATGCCCCGTGACCTCCTCTGTCTTCCCACAACTCTTAGCGGCAGAAGAGGAAGAGATGCTCTGTGGGATAGCTGCCCAGAGTGCACCACTCCGAATACCGCTGCAAGTGCCGCAAGTGTGAACACGCTATTGCGCAGGCACCTGATAGTGTGAACACACAACAGTGGTTTCCCTTCAGCACTCTCTGAGCAGCGCTGTAACTCTGCCAGTGTAGACATACCCTTAGATTTCAGCTTACTTTTGACGACACCCCAGACACATCCCAACCTGGTGTTAGAACAATTAGTATCACAGAGAGTCCAAGTCTCCTACTTGCCATGGACAACATTCCACACAGGTTATCATGGAACACTGCTGACACACTTGGAAGGTCTAATAAGTGTCAGCTGCAGCATAAATCAGTCCTCAAAATGGTTGTTATGGACAACTGCATATTTACATGCAGGACTCTCCTTTAAATGTGCTCCACAAGGCTCTTTCCATCCTGCTATCCAATATCCACTAAAGCCACCAAAAGAGATCATGGACTCAACCCCAGTAACGTGCCAACACTAGGCAGCTCCACATCTTCTTTATGTCAAATGCAGCCAATACCATTTGCCAGCAGTCTCAGTACCCATGTGAGAACAATGCCTGGATTAAAAGAAGATGAAGGAAGGCAAGTCTAGGTAACAAAACCAAGTTAGTGGAAGAGAAAAATACGAGAAATTAATCAACACCATTACATCTCCATCTATCGAAGGACTCAGTCCTCCAGTTGTCAAGATGGTATGCAAATTAGAGGCCCTCTGAACACCTCACTGTACCTGGATACCATCTCTAGTAGTGGTTTCCCCACACCCACTCTCCTACAGTTAGCTATCCTCCTTATGGATGAATCACCCAGCCATGGCGATCCATGAATTCATCACCTACAGACTGGATCACTAGAACAGGAAGTTAATGCAAGGTCCCTAAAAAA